TCTGGGTATTAACAAAATACAAATTCTGGATATTTTTTTGAACTTTTATAAAGTACATGAGTAGTAATTATGTGAATTAACAATAAGAAATTTTATGTTCCTAGACAAATGAATATTTTAAAAAGTGAATTCTATCTAAATTAATTTAAAAACTCTTGGTATCCTCAATTTGAGTTTCCAAATTTAAGCTTGATTTTTATAAAGTAAATTAACTTTTTATTTCTATTATGTGTATAAAAATATATATATATCTGTGCATAACTAATTCAAGTCTGAAAAAGATTAAATAGAAAGTGGAATTTGTCTCACTATTTATTATAGCAATGTGCCAATCTGAGCAGAAGAGAACATTCAGATGACATTGATGAACGTGTGAACTTAATATCCTACAAAGATGGCAATCTAAATCCATGAAAAATATTGAATGAATCAATCGATGAAAAAATAAGTCTCTGCATGGAGCAAAGATTTTAAAGGCCAGACATTTTGAAGGATTGAGCTAGGGTGGTAGAAATGTAAATAATGAAGAGGTCTCAGATTTGTGATATATTTTAGAGACAGTGCCACCAAGACCAAGAAGGCCTGGTAACACAATGGCTAATTGAAAAGTGGGCAGTTTGAACCCAACAAGCGACTCCAGGAGAGAAAAACCTGGTGATCTGCTTTTGTAAAGAGTACAGCCAGAGAACCCCATGAGGCAGTTCTACTCCATAACATGGGGTTGCTATGAGTTAAAATTGACTTAATGACACCTACCAACAGAGCACAACAACTATGAAGACTTGTTAATAGAATGGATATTAGAAATAATAACAAGCTAATGAAGATATTGTGATGCAAAAGAGAAAGCATCTCTCTAGGAGGGGATTTTTTGAGTAGATAGAGTTCCTTATTCTGAGAGCTGCAGACTTGATTTTCGATGGGAATCAAACAGAGAACTTGGATAGGTTTCTCTTTTGTAATGGACAGAACAATCACAACTGAGAAATATTTTAATTTCATAAAACCATTAAAACAAAGAAAACTAAAAATCTAGATAGAAATCACTTGAAATTCACACACCAAATATTAACTACCTTCTTTTATAAGTACGTTGATTCTTTGGTAGCAAACAATGTAGCATCTAAGGATTTTATGTCGAGGTGAAAAGTATAAGTCAAGCATATAACATTAACCGGGCAGTATAATGTCTTCAAATTCTATGAATTTATTCTTAAAAATTTTATTTTGAGTAAAGCTCAGTGATCATCTGTCAGATATGGGAACATCTGATTAGCTATGAAAGTAAGTAAGTAAGTTTGTTGGGATTGGTTTATATGTGTGTATGTCTGATTGGTTGGTTAGTTTAGATTTATTTATTTATTTTTCTTTTCTTTTTTTCTTTATTGTTATTTGGGTGAAATTTTACAAAACAGACTCTTTTACACTCAACAATTCATAATCATATAGATATAGATATAGATATATAGATATAGATATATAGATATAGATATTTGTTGCATTCCTCACAGTGTAACATCTCATCTTCCACTTCCTTCCTGTGGTTATTTGGTCCCTGTGTCCGTCTTGCTTATTAATTCCTTCTTCCCTTTCTCCCTGTGCAAATGCAGCCCTTCTGATTTCCTGTGGTTGATTGTTTTAAGGAGTGCATCTCCCTGGTGCAGGTTTTCAGCTCCTAAGCCTGTTCATTATCTGGCTAAGAGTTAAGCCACAGATGTGAGATTGATTCCAGGCCCAAAGGGTGACTTAGGGCCATAGTCTCGGGGGTTTCACCAGTCTCTATCAGCCCAGTAACCAAAAAAACCAAACTCACTGCCTTCAAGTCAGATCCAACTCATAGCAACCCCTTTTTAGGTTTCTGAGGTGGTATCACTGCAGAAGTAGATTGCCTAATCTTCCTTCTGAGGAGTGGCTGGTGGGCCTGAACCACCAGCCTTCTGGTTAGCAGTCAAATGCCATAGGCATTACGCCATCAGAGCTCCTACTACACGACCAGAGCTCCTTCAGCCTAGTAAGCCTGGTCATTTTTATGATTTTGTGATTTTATTATTATTTTTTTTAAATATATTTTTAAGGAAATTACTGATATATCCCACCAGCCACTCCTCGGAAGGAAGATGGGGTAATCTACTTCCGTAGTGATACTGCCTTGGAAACTCAAGGAGAGGTCGCTATGATTTAAGTCTGACTCAATGGCACATAACAACAACAACAACAACAACTGATACATCAGTTTGTTAATGAATGATTAAAAGGTGGAGGAGGAAAAGGGATCTCTCTTCAAATGTGACAAATAGAGGCAGATTTAAAAGTTACTAGTAAAACTTTCTATCCCCTATAAATTTTCTCTAACATTCTCTGTTGCTAGAGAGGAAGAATTTTCAGTTATTAACCAACTAAGTAATGACTATTATTATAAGATGTATTGTTCTAAATATAAGATTGTTTGAGCCCAGGTAAAGAGTTTGATTGACTAAATTTACTGTGGAGTCTGAGGTTCTCAAGCATTTCAGAGCAACTCTGCCAAAGAAGAGGGCTTGTTAGACTGGGGATTCTCTAAGTAATTTGGATGTGCTCTACCCTTACTGATCATTTTAATTATGTGTAAGAGCCAGGAGAGGAAGAAAAGGAAGAAGATATTGGGGAAGCAGCCACGTAGGAAACCTGTAGTGATGGCAGTAGTAGTCAGGCCTCCTGGTTATTGCCCAAGCTTTGTCAATAACCTATTGTGAGGCACTGTAAAACCACATATTTTCCCCTATGTAGCTCATTGTTTTTTTGTTTTGTTTTGTTTTTTAAATAAGGTGAAATAATGGGGAGGGGGCTAAATTGGTGTGGTTTTATTCTTTTCTTTTCAAAGATGATCTTATTTTGCTGTAGAAAATCTCTGAACCACTAGCCTGCAATCAATTTGCAAAATACATATAACAAGACCCCTTGTAACATAGTGCCTAAGACACTTGACTGCTAACCAGAAGGCTGGAGGTTTAAACCCACCAGCCATTCCTTAGAAGGAAGGTTGGGCAATCTAGTTCCTTAGGGATACCACCTCAGAAACTCAAGGAGGGGTTGCTATGAGTCGGGTCTAACTTTATGGCACATAACAACAACAGCTATTTTAAGTAGGAAGCAAAAATGGGGAAAAGAAGGGGATGAAGCAATAGCCTGCTAACATATGTTAAATATTTTGACCAATTTTTCAACAAGTCTTCTACTTGAGACTCAGAGATAGGTAAATTTCCAAAAGTCAGAGAAAACAAATAAGGGCTCTAATATTTGAATTTGGTTTTAGAGTCTCAGGAAAGCTCTTTTTGGGAGTAAAACAGGACAACAGTAATGAAAAATAGCCGTGGAAGGTAAGCATCACACTAGCTTATTCCACCTCTCAGCACATCAGGGCCCAAATCTTTTTGGAGAGTTGACTCAAGGGTTGGGCAAATGGGCAAGCTGTTCCAGATATTCAGCCCACCCCTGAACTAAGCCATGTTCCCTCCCTTGTAACTAGTAGGCTTCACAACAGGTATGACCTAGTAATTAGGAAATAAACAGTCCTAAATAGAGTCAAGTATAACCTATAAAACAAACATGCGGTTTGACTACAAATTGTCTTACCGTTGCTGGGGCACTGGCGCTTGTGGTTCTTGCTAAATGCCTGGCCCTTTTCTGGGATTTTGCTTCTTTTTCCCTGAAAGAAGGCAAAGAATAGTATAGTATAGATGTGCTTGCCCAATTTTTTATAACAACTTACACTATAAACTTAATTTTATCCTGTTTAATAGCCACAGACTGCTGTCCTCAGCCCAGTCTGGTATGTCATAATTACAAGTATGTCCAAAATTGGACACAATACCCCAAGTCTCTCTGTAGTGCTGAATAGTATCCCATGCATGGCTTTTTGAAGGAGAGCTTCATCAAAGCAAGAATCTCCACCTTTATTTTCATAACTAACTACCTCCCTTGAATACTTCCAATAGCCTAGTAGTCAATGACACTAAAAGACATCTGTTTCATTGGTGAACTGCTTTGTTTCAAAGACCATATTCATATTGAACAAGAATCTGCCTGCCTATCGGTTCCAACTTCTAGGGACCCAGAGAACAAGACAGCATTCTCTTCCAAACATGGTCCTTCAGCAATCTGGGGAGGATTTTAATGCCTCACACAGTCTCTTCCTTTTCAGATTAAAATTTTAGGAGCTCTGGTGGTGTAGTGCCTAAGACATTTGACTGCTAACCAGAAAGCTGGCTGTTCAAACCCACCAGCCACTCCTCAGAAGGAGACTGGGCAATCTACTTCTGTAGAGACACCACCTAAAAAACCCAAACAGGGGTCACTATGAGTCAGAACCGACTCAACGGCAGTGAGATAATTTACATAGGTAATGAAAATAATAATTGATGATTGACTTTCAAATGATAAATTCTCTTTGGGTTATAAGGCATTTTTTGCTTTAAATTACACTTAAATATATTTTCCAGTAAATGTATTACATTCATAGTATGAGTTTCCTATTGAAACTAACATCCAATAGTAGAAGAAGAAAACTTTATAGTCAATAATACCACTGCTGATTTACAGTCAGCTTTCAAGAGAATAAGAAAGGATGGTTCACACATTCCTGGGCATCCCACACCTTCAATCTTGTCTTACCTTTTTTACTTTCCCACAGTCTTTTCTTTAGAAGCAGTACATATGATTAGAACTTCATTATCCCAATATTATGGAATATGCCAAACTAAATCCCCTGACGCATATCACCTGGCATTTAAAAGGCCAATTATCACGTAATTATCTTAAGTGTGTATGCTTAGTACTGGTTTGGCACCAGTAATGATGTTTTGTCCATGGTCAGAATTTAAAGATGACTTTCCTGCTCAAAAATCAACTAGGAATCTCCAATTTGGAGATTTTTAATTGATAATTCAAGCCCTCCTCCTCCTTTGGGGTGTCACTGAAGAAAGGAAAACAAGTTAGGAAGCTTTGGATAGATGTGGGTAAACTAGCCCTTCCAGCATCTTAATCCATTCTGAACTGCAGAGAACTGGAAGCTTCCTGCTCCCTTTTAGTCTAGCTCATCCTCCCATTTAACCCAGATGTCAAAGGCAGTGACAGCTTATAAGCTGTTGTTGTTGTTATGTGCCGTCAAGTCGGACTCGACTCATAGTGACCCCTCCTTGGGTTTCCAAGGTGGTATAACTATGAAAGTAGATTGCCCAACCTTCCTTCAAGGAGTAGCTGGTGGATTTGAACCGCCAGCTTTCTGGTTAGCAGTCAAGTGCCTTAGGCACTATGCTACCAGAGCTCCGGACAGCTTATATAGACAGGATATATCCTGCTAAATCCCTCTGCTGCTACAAGGAGTATCTTCTCAGCCTCTAGGGTACAACAGAGTCAGATTGTAACCAGCCCCAGAAAGTTGACTTTCTCTCTTAAATTCTTTTTTCCTATAGCCAGAAAGTTCAGATTGGATCTATACTCTCTACATCCTCAAAAGACTAGAGTGCTGCATAGCAGACACACTGGAATGTTTTTGGAATACCACTTGAGTGATTTTTAAAACTTTTCCAGGTAGGTGGCAATTTGTCCAATTGTATCTGATGGGAGTTGTCAAAGTGAACCACTAAGCACTTTTATTTAATCTTCTAGATTTAGAAAAATACATTTGAAAGGAAATATGTGTGTATATATATATATATATATATATATATATATATACACATACATATGCATATATGATAGTCAGAAAACAACTAGTAACAAATACTTGAAAGAAACAGGGTCTTTACTTACAATATCACTTTGCACATGGTGCATTTTTGAATCAACATTATTCCATTGGGGTTTTCGTAAATAATTTTATCATGGGGACAAAATAATTTTCCACTTTTCATCAATGCTCGAAATTCATTGCATGTTTCCTGAGGAGAAGATAAAGAAAGTTTTGTTTACTTAAATCTCATCAAAACAAGACCTGAACTAAGAATTTCCTCAAGCTGTGTTACTTAGTGACCACCAGCCTCCTTGATATGGAAGGCATTCACTCAGTTGATACAGATACCCAAACAAAAATAATGATTCTGGCTCTTCTATTGGAGATGGCCTATACACCTACTGAACTTTCAGCTCACACAATTAGTGATGTAGAATGTATAAGAGACTTGAAGTCAAAAGACCAGAGCTTGCTTTCCAGAGTTCTCATTTATAAGCCCATGAGTTTTACCAAGTTAACCTCTCAAAAGCTCAGTTACCCTATCTGTAACAATAGGATATATACATACATACATTTCACAGGTTTTGTGAAGATTAAATATTGTAAGTATGTAAGTCCCTCAGAGAATGCTTGCTACATATTAGATATTCAGGAAGCAGATTCATCTTTTCCTTTCTTTCTTCTCTTTTACTATTATTGTTGAGTTTTTGTTGTTATTGCTATTATTAATATTATTATCATTGAAATCTGCTAAAATTACACATATCGAAGTATCTAGAACAGTAGGCCAAAAAATCCTTTAAAACAGAATATGAATGTGTTGCTGGAGGAATGAGACAAAGTGTGTGAGCATAGAAAACTGTTAAGTACTTCTGTCAACTTTTCCCAAAGTGTGTACTGCAAGAACCAACTCCTAGAAATGTTCATAGTCACTGAATGAAAAGAGCATTCCTTGCTCAGATACATTTAGAAAACATATTTCTAAGGCATTTGACTGCTAACCAGAAGGCTGGCAGTTTAAACCGACCAGCCACTCCTCAGGAGGAAGGTTGGGCAATCTACTTCTGCAGAGACACCACCTCGGAAACCCAAGGAGGGGTCAGTGAAGTTCCTATTCAGATATCCATTGCCTATTTTATATTTTGACCAGGCGTACCATAAATATCTGTCACTGGGGATACCATGGTGAACATAACAAACGTAATTCCTTACAACTGGGTACCTTTTCTGTAAGGAACCAAAGATCTTTGATAACTCATGCACTATGAACACACTTGATGAATTGTAAAGCTAATGAAGCTTAATTTTCAGGGCTCCTGCATTGTCAGATCCCTCTTCCAAGTCTCTGGCAAAGGCCCAACCATTTCTAATTGACAAATTTGTATGTTTTTATATTTAAAAGCCCCCATCTTCACCTTATCCCTACCACAACCCATGATCAATGGAATTAAATTTTGTAAGCCTATGGCAGTACTGTACAGCTTTCCCAATACTTGTTTGCACTTTTCTCTCTTTGCAAACCCCCCTCTGTTTTTGCCACATTCTCATAGAAGTATGATTTTATTGTTCTGTGGCACATTCCTCAAGATATGTTGCACTATACTTTGGTTTTGCTTTCTTAGAGTAAAATGTCAGTGGCAGTGCTATTTTATTGTGGTGACAAAATAATTTTTTGTATCAAGTATAGGTATCAGGATAAACCATTTTGCATAATAGAATAAAGGACTAGATCTTTAAAAGTGGTGATTCATTCTGTTTATTCACTCATTTATTCATTCAATATACATTTACTGAATGCTTGTCAGACACTACTCATTCTTTTCTAGGAACTTAAAATCAGTAGTGCATTTGCATGACCTGGTGAAATAATGACTTAAAATATTGTTGTTGTTGTTGTTGTTATGTGCCGTCGAGTCGGACCCAACTCATAGCGACCCCTCCTTGGGTTTCCGAGGCAGTATCACTACAGAAGTAGATTGCCCCATCTTCCTTCCAAGGATTGGCTATCAAAAAAAGAATAAAAAACCAAACTCACTCTCATCAGGTCGGGTCTGACTCATAGCAACCCTTCCTTGGGTTTCTGAGGCAGTATCACTACAGAAGTATACTGCCCAACGTTCTTTCTGAGGAGTGGCTGGTGGATTTGAACTGCCAGCTTTGTGGTTAGCAGTCAAATACCTTAGGCACTATGCCATCAGAGCTCCCTATATTCCCTATAAGTTTAGAAAATTTACTGGCTCTTTAGAGCAAGCCTTTAAATTCCAAAGGCTTCTTTTGTGTTTGTATTGATTTTTTGTTTTGTTCTGATTTTTCAATAAAAGAAATTCTGTCTAAAATTCTTCAGGAAAATCAAGCCTTTGCTGTGACACTGACAAACAGTACAGCCTCTTCCAAAAGACTGAGTTATAGAATCCATCCAGCCTACTATATCTTTATAATAATTATCCAATAAGCCAACACATACTTATGAGATTATAATGTTCCAGGCACTTTGCTGAGGATACAGCAGTAAATAAGGCAGAAGGGTCCTTGCCTGAATGATGTTTACAGTATAATGGATAATGATGTACCTAATCTACCTTCTTATGCATGGTAAATTGATCAGAGCAATTAATGGTGAGGAAGAATTATTAATGGTGAAGAAGAATAATTAAATGATATTAGAAACTAGCCCTGGGAAATTTTTCTAAGGGTGACCTACTAAAATATCTCTAAGATTATTACCATCACTTAATGATCTCATCTGTAGGGATTTCTGGCAACAGATTGAGAACTGGGTCTCATAAACTCTGTCTGGTCTCTGATTATATGGTATCCTATGCCAAGTATGCAAGTTGCTGCTTAGCTTGCCAGCTATAAGAGATTCTAGAAAGTCTAGATAAAAACTTTATCATAAAAATCAGGGCAGAGCCTCATATCTTTATAATAGTAATACAACCTTTGTGAGGGAGGTCTTAGAGTAACATTGAGAACAGACTTCAGATATCATGAATGAAGTTCTACATACTTCTTGATGGTTGATCAACAAAGTGTAACCTCAATCAGAGTAATGTCTGAATTGGATTTCTCCAATCTCACAATTAGATAAAACCTTAATTCCTAGAAAGGCCCACTTTACTTACAGATAAGTAAATGAAGCTCAGAGAACAGGTTAAGAAATTATAGTGTTTAACATACTATGAACTAAAATAGTATTTTTTTTTTTTGTGTGTGTGTGTGTGTATGCCACCAAATGATCCAATTTATTCTCTTATGAAATGGAGGACCCTAACAATTGAAAGCAGTGTTTATTTTTGTTTCCTGTGGGAACTGAGATATCCTCCAATTTACTACAATGGAGAAGGTTGAAAACACAGAAGACCTAGGCAAAAAGTCATTCTAGGGGAGGGAAATGATTTTTCAACAACTGTTTAGTTGCAGGCCAAATTCCAGCCCCTGGCTTGTTTTTGTTTTGTTTTGGAGTTCCTATTTGTGTTATTGCTGTTGTTTTTTCCACATGTCTTGGAAACAGTGGAACCATCTAGGGCCAAGATCTTCCTTGCTGGTTGTGATCTAATTTGCTGTCTTCCATTGTTTCTGCCCAGCTACCATAACAAAATTCCCTAGCAGTTAGCACCTCCCAATACAAGTGTTAAATCTCTAACAAGTTTGTTTTCTGGCTTCATAATAACCTTGCTGTGATGGAATCCTTACAGATCATTACAATACTTTTCCATGCTATCCTGGTTCATGTTTATAATATTCATCATGACTTTTATGGTGCCAGAAAGAATTCAAGCTACTGAACTTGGAAAATAACAAAAATTCCAACACCACAAGAAAGATCAATTCAATAGCTTTCATTCATGCCAAAATGTTCGTAGACTATTATCACAAATGTTTCCAGAGAAGCACTTTTCTTTTAGTTTGTCTTGTTTATGCCAACATAAGAGGTAGCTAAACTTATTATTTTAGAGATTTTTTCAATGGAATACACTTTAGTGGTAGGAAAAGAGCAGTGCAATTTTTTTAAACATCTACCAAAAACCACCACCCATTATTATGGAGTGTGACAAAGAAAATGGTGGCACAGTAAGATTCACAGAGTATCTTTCATTTTGCTGATATAAAGGATCCAACTGAGTGTGTTCTCAGTTCCCCAAAAGCCAGTCTTCTTTTTACTCTGTGGTCGTTTCTGTACCTCTCTTCATTTAGCAGACTCAGATGAAAAAACAGCAATTATGATAAAATTCCCTATAATATTCCCATAGAAAGTTTCTTAAAAAAACAAAAAAAATGCTACATTAGATTATTTCTATCTGTAGTTTTAAGAGTTTCCATGTAGAGAAAAGACAGTTCACCTTTTCATTCTTTTTATGTCCATGACCTTTGAGAGACATAATACATATTTGCTACATACTTAGCACTGTATTGGGAGCTCTGGTGGTGTAGTGACTAAGGCATTTGACTGGTAACCAGAAGGCTGGCTGTTCAAACCCACCAGCCACTCCTCGGAAGGAAGGTTGGGCAATCTACTGCCATAGTGATACCACCTCAGAAACCCAAGGAGGGGTCACTATGAGTTGGACCCAACTCACGATAATGAGTTTGGTTTGGTTTGGTTGTAGCACTGTTATTAATGGCATAATAATGCATGTGTGTATGTATGTAATTGATCCTTTTGTCTTCTCTTTCAAATAGATTTTAAAAATTAAGTTATAGAAAATTATTCTTTTATTTCTCAAAGCAAAGACCTCTGAGAGTTGGTAAAGCATCAGCCTGCCTCTGCTTCTACTGGTACTCCTGCCTGGTCTGCTCAAAGTTGCATGTATCTACATAGTTGACCCCCTATCACCTGTAGATTGTTTTTCTAATGCCATCTTGTCAGTGAGAACTTCCCAGACTCTCCCAATGAGAACTGATACTACCTCCATACCCAGCAATTCCTGCCCTGCACTCCACATTGTTTTTCTCCTAGCACTAATCATCATTTAATGTAGCAGATACACCTCTTCTGTGCTTATTAACTTGACTATTTTTCCTCAGTAGAATATGACTTCCATGAAGGTAGAAATTTCTCTCTATCATGTTTATTTGGAATGTCCCCAATATTTCAAAGTGTCTCACACATAAAAGATGCTCAATAAATATATATTGGATAAAATATGCATAATGTTCTGAAGCGACAAGCCTGTTTTGCATTATATTTATCAGAAGACTTACTCAGTTTCCTATGTGTGTCCTAGCCTGTTCAAATATTAACCTGAATGAAAATAAGTCACCAGTTGATTTCATTTTTTACTTGCTATGGAAAATAAAATAACTTAGGATGTTGGATTGCCTCTTACAGACATCCACCATCATCAATTCATTGGTTTTTCTCTCCATGTGATTCATCTCTTGATTCATAAAGACTATTTTCTGTGTTTTTAACAAAAGTTATTAGTACTCATCAGGATATTATGTGTGTATTATTAACTGTAGGTGTTGGCCACAAACCATTTTTCTTTAGAGATCTTGGAATAGAATCAATGAACAGAAAAAGCAGGACTAACCTGATTTTCATCCTCACTGGCAGCATCTGGGACAAAAATACAGACACCAAAGTTAAGGGAATATAAAATATTCAATAAAAATATAAACTATTCATTCAGTGCATTGTCTGTACTGCTTTAGCATCAGTATGTGGTACAACACAATTGTTTTTGAACACATTGAAATTTAGCAGGATAAATAAAATGAGGGTACTGCTGCAAAAGATCAGTGTATTCACTCCCAAAGGTTCAATAACTCATAACGATCCAATTATTTTGAAAATAATATTCATTTGCTTTCTGATCCCTGGCAACATATAATTTCTAACAGGTCCTTTTAGAGTAAAATAAGGCAGTTCCTCGATACTGCCTTGGAAACCCAAGGAGAGGGCGCTCCTTGGGTCAGATTTAACTCAATGGCAGTGAGTTTGGTTTTTTGGTGATATGTCTATTGACTGAAAATTTAAAAATATATACTGGCAATTATATACTTGGAAGTATTATTTAGACTGAAGATTGCCTCATATATAGGTGTATGTGTCTGTGTATGCATAAAATTCTACTTTCTGGATTCTAGTGACTACTGCCTCAGTATAGCTACAGAAAGAAAAAAAAAAAAGAAATCTGGCAAAAATCAAGATTACTAAAAATCATTAGATGACTCCACTCTGATTAACAGGCTTTTCTGTATCTACATACTAATATTAGGAAAGTGGACAACACTTATGTGAAATGATCTTATGGACTTTCTGTCTCTAAAATTCCCTTTGCAAAATGTAAATGCTTCAGAGAAAGATGACTCTAGAGAATCTGCATTCCACACAAAATTAAATAGCAAATGAAAAACTCATCTCCCAGTGCCCACAAAAGGCCTTCACATTTTAGGAGAAATACTTTCAATTCATTTAGGATTTGAAATCACAAAAAGAAAAATATGTTATAAGGCACAATTGCTTAAAAATAAGAACACATGATTGAATTTGTTTTAAAAATATTTGTACATATGATAATCCATACACTACTTATATATAATGCTAAAAAGATATATCATATGTTTATATTCAGTATGAATTGCTGTGTTTGAAAAGGGGACAGTGAATAAGAATCTATTAGCTTTTTAGACCTAATGCAGAAGTAATAGAAGGATTTCCCATGGATAAATATTACATGATTTCAAACTATAAATTTTAGATTATCTCAAGCTACTGTAAACAACATTTTTACAGTATCATGTCTATAATTATTAAAAGCTCTATACATAGCAGGCTATTTTCAGGATTTTTTTTTTTTTCCTGAACAAGTCCCTTCTCCAGGGCTTGAGATGTGTGGCAAGAGCTTTAGATTCCATGCAAATTGCTCACCTTGTATGAGGCAAAGAGCCAGGGTCAGAAGCATTGGTGCTATAACTATCTTCATGGTGAAGATGATGCAAGTGGTTACAAGCCTGCTCCGTGGATTGCTCAGCTGGTGCTCTAAGACTGAACCCGTGGAGATGCAGCTCACTTTTATATGAGGAAGCTTGTGATGTGGTTTACACCCACCTCACAAGGCAAAATTATAAAACCAGTTATACAAGGTCACGCTATGCCACACCAGTCTATGTTCCATCCTATAAGGAACTTGTCAAGGTAGCAGATTTGAACAGGTAGTCTTTTCATGACATAGTAACATATTTTCATGATAGCTCTCTCAGAAGACAATTGATTGGCTTCAAAGATCCTTCTCAAAATTGAAAATTCCATAGTCCTATATGATGAGCTCTGGTAGCATAGTGGCTAAGACACTTGCCTGCTAACCAGATGGCTGGCGGTTCAAACCCACCAGCCACTCCTCGGAAGGAAGGTTGGGCAATCCTACTTCCGTAGTGATACTGCTTCGGAAACCCAAGGAGGGGTCGCTATGAGTCGGGGCCGACTCGACGGCACATAACAACAAACAACAACAATATGATGACTGAATTCCTCGGCAACACCAGACACACTACCTTGTAACCAAACATGTTTTCTAACTGGACTGCTTCGTAATTGGAGGGGAGGGGAAAAGAGGACAAATTGCTTGTCCTACGGGAGGTTGGACAATCTACTTCCATAGTGATACTGCCTCAGAAACGGTATCACAGTATCTAGTCAGGTTCCACTCGACGGCACACAACAACATCAGTCAGGTAAATATTTTAAGATATGCACATCTGTAGGAAGCTTCTTATAATGAGAGAATCTTGGGCTCCTGTGCTTCCCTGTGAATTCAGTTTCAAACACATAAGTTAGAGTGGGATAACTTTAAGGGATAACCTAGCAAAATTCTCACATTGAATACATGGAGAAATGGAAACTCAGAGAAGGAGCAATGACTTTTTCAGGTTAGATGGGAAGAGCAGAGCTGTCACTGGAA